TTTATGTGATTTATTCTCATTCATACATACATAGGCAAGTGTGACAAGCCTGATTCACGACCTAGAGCTCATTGAAACGGCCAGAACCAATTCCAAAAATTCCAAAGAAATTTGCAAACTGAAATCCACTTTTCAGCACGATTTAAAGTCTTTTCTTGATCCAAACACATTCCTAACACTCCTAGGAATCTTTTGCAATCAGAAACAAGCTTTAAAGCTCCAGGAAACGCCATTCAGTCATACGGTTCATCACTTTTTTTCAAAATCATAATCATCGATTCATGCATTTTTAACATTTTTCATTGATTGTATTGTGTTCACAGGACCCATACGAAGTTATTAGTGTACTTGAATTGCATTATGGCGCCCAGAATTGAAAAACACCATTGTTAAGTTCTAGGGTTTCAGAGCTCCCAGATTGGGGCTTTACAGCATAGGTAAAATTAGCCTTCATGATGCCCATGGTCGAACTCAGGATGACAAGATGAACCCATTGCAACCCTCGCGCCCTTTTTATATAGCTCAGGGGCCTAATCGCTATTCTTGGCAGTTCCATGTTGTAGGGGTTAAAAACCCCCGCTAACTGCTTTTGTTTTGCAGGTTACAGGATGAAGACGAAGGGCGTGTCAGCTTGCCACTGGCTGATTCAAATGGCGCGCGTTTTTTTTTAGTTTCAGCATGTGACTTGTTTTTCATATATTATATTTGTTTCTCATCTTATTTACAAACGCGCATAAGTGATCTAGTGGTACTGGTGTTGGCAAATGATCCTTGGGACCTGGGTTCGATTCCCAGGTCCCCCCAAATGTTTATTCATGTTTTTTCTAACTCAATCACATGCAGCCTTCCAAGCAATCAACACCATATGCCCTCATGCATCAACGTGCCATGTGTCCAGTCCCACAGATCTGAAGGCCAAGGAATGAAGGAACACCATGCTCATGAGTCAACGCATCTCCAGGCAGTCTCAAAGGTCAAACAAGGCTGGCTTCTTGGTGGGCTCGGATTGCCAATACACCCTCAATTCTGGCCCAACACCCCTATGGTTCTATTTTATTTTCTTTCGTTTTCTTTCTTTTTTTTTATTTTTCTTTTAACTAATTTTTAATTATTATCATTATTGTTAATTAACCTAACAAACTAATTTTTTCCATAAAATTAAAAAAAAAAACAAAGAAAAACATTTTATTATTTATTAACTTATTTTGTAAATAAATGTAAATTAAATTAAATTAGTTTAATTAGTTAACTTTAATACCTTTTTACAATAAATAAAATAATTTAGACTTAGGCTTTTCTTTTGACATTTTTAATTCCTTTTATTTTATTTTATTTCATTAAAACATAAAAGCACAACAAAATATTTTCTTAATTAATTAATTAATTAGTTATTAATTTTAATTTCATTAATTACAAAAAAAAAGGACAAAAATTCAATTCTTTCTTAAAAAATGGTCAAAACCCTTAAGACGTTCCCGGTTCCATTTTCTATTCGCGCGTATTTATTTATTTTGATTATTTATGTAACTGTTTCTGGATATGTAATAGTTAGTTAGGACTTTATTACTTTCTTTTAATTTCTTGCATTTTTATTTTTCAAAATGGGTTTTGTTTTTGGCGATGTATAGACCCGCGCCTTGTAATAGCTAGATTTACATTTCCGCAATTTACTTTCCGCACTCCTAACTGTTAAAAAATGCCTGCAAGAATGTATGTAAATAAAACCAATCCGTAGCTCGCAAATAACATGTACAAGACAAACATAAACTGAAATTGAACACACATGCACATGCCACCCCTAGGGTACGCCTCACTGGTTGCCTCGAACGTGGTCATCAAGTATAGGTTGTCTTAGAGGTCGCCCTTCTGTCTAAAAGATCCAGTTGCCTCGAAACGGTTGCCTCGGATAAAAAGGATCTAGGACATTAGGGTTACTTCTAAGACGTCCTACCATTGCTTAGGTGACCACACATGTCCCTTAATCGAATTGACCCGAATACCTCCAACGATGGTGCTACCTACCTCTCAATGGTGGGATAGCACTACCTAAAGGACTCTTACACAGCCTAATTCCTTAGAGTAGGTAGATTTCTCTTAAATACTTGCTCTTTTCAAAACAAACAAAAATACTTTTCACACCTCACACTTTCTAAAAGTTTTCAAACAAATTTTTCATACACTCTTGAGGACAGATACAAGAGTTACTTATAAATTTTTCAAACGGAACTTTTTCAAAACCCACACACACTTGAAAAGTAAACAATTTTTGAAAACATAAGAGCAAGTACCTAAGAGCCCGTGGATAACCACTGATAGAAAGGGTGCTAACACCTTCCCTTTCTATAAATCTACCTCCCGAACCGAGAAACATTCTCGAATAAGGAATTTTGATGTGCTTTTGTCCTTTCCATGTTGGAGAATATAAAAGACGATGGCGACTCTTGCTTACCGCGACATTTCGCGAAACCAGCTTAAAAACAGTCAGTTCTATTTCCACCGACCACAGGGGGGATTCGATGAATTCGAACTGTTTTAGGAACTGTTTCATTGGCTTTCTAATGCAAGTTCTGTTTTTTCTAATTTGGTGCAATATTTGGCCTGATATGACGCAAGTTTACAACAGTTATTTGGACTGGTTTGTGGACTGTTTTTTATGGTTAGCAGGAGCAGAGCAGCATAAGATTTTATTTATAGGTTATGTTTAAGTTACAATAGGTTTCTTGGACTGGTGTAGGTAGTGAAAAGTTTGGACCGTAGCATAGTTTTGGTGGGCTAGTGTTGCAGCAAATGGGCCATGTTTTGTGCAGCAAGAAAAGTGAATTAGAGCAAAGATGGACTTGAAGTTTTAGGTTTGCAGATTAGGATTTAGGAACTTTTGTATTTCTTGTATTTAGAATCAAACTTGTAACCTTCAAAACTTTGATTAGAAAATTGATATGAGAAAATCGAATCATGAATGAATTTGAAGAATGGTATTTGAAACTTGGTCCTGAAGACACTTTGAATGAATCGTTAATGAAACAAATGATTTTGATGAATGACAATGATTGACTCTTGATAAATCTTTGAATTAGGCCAAAAGCATTGTTTGAAAGTTGTTATGATAATGCATCAAATTAAATAGGAACTTGAATGAAATTGTTTAGAATACATGATTCCATGAACTCATAATCAAATTGAATCAACAATGCCTTTATGAATTGAAATTAGAAGCCAAACCATTTTAAGTCAAGAATTGGCCTATAACGTTTCGATAAATTCCAAAACCTTCTAAGCTTAATTTGACTCTGATCCTTGAAGAAAACTTGTAGGTGGCATAGTTTACGACAACGTGTAAAAAGAATCATCTCAAAATGCTGAATATTGAAGAATTTACGATCCCTGGAAGTCAGGAAATAGCTACTTGAGATTAGGTCAAAGTCCACAAAGTGACCTCTAAAGTATTCAAACTTTTGGTGATCTTTCTCACATAATTGGTCATTGACTTGTAAAGTTAAGTTGGAGAAGACGTCAAAAGGAACCAAATGCCCAAAGAATCACTCAAAAATATTGAATATCGAAGAAGTTATGAACTTCTGAACCTGACCTTGAAAATGTTGACCTTTTAGTCACACTGCTTTGAATCAACTTATAAACTTGATCTTTCTTTGTATTCCGAGACACATTGATGCACATATGAATCCATGATGGTGAAATCTTGATCGTGCTTTTGAGATTTGAGACTATGCTTTGATGAAGTAGCCTTTGAGAATCAATGATCATCCACACTAAACATTTGAGGGATCCAAAACCCTAGCTGAGGCACAACACTTGATGCTCTTGATTTAAAATTGTCTTTGTATGGGAAACTCAAATAAACAACAATATATATATATATATATATATATATATATATATATATATATATATATATATATATATATATATATATATATATATATATATATATATATATATATATATATATATATATATATATATATATATATATTTGTATTTGATTAGAGGTTAGTGATCAAAATAAACACAAAGGTAAAATTCACACCAAAAGGTGCTTGACGACTTTAATAAAGACAAAACTCAAAAGTGAAACGGTTAGGAGCCTTAGAGAGCTTGTGACCTTGATGCTATGTGAAGATGCAAATGGAGGTGAGATCTTAGGGGTAAAAATTAGGGTATGACAAACTCAAGAAAGTAATATTTATGTGTCAAGTATTGTCTCGAATTACCAAATCTTATATATATATATATATATATATATATATATATATATATATATATATATATATATATATATATATATATATATATATATATATATATATATATATATATATATATATATATATATATATATATATATATATATATATATATATATATATATATATATATATATATATATATATATATATATATATATATATTACTTACATAAATTTTCTATTTATAATAAAAAATAGTTTGCTCTCATTTTCACTATTAGTACTCTGTAAGTAAATTATCCAAGGCAATATTAAATGACCTATAGTTGTAAATAGTAAAAAGTAGAGTAAATAAATGATTTGATGATAATATTATTAAAGTATATGCATGTAATTGGGGCATGGTGGGTTGAGTGAGAGTTAAAACAATTTAGGGTTAGCAGATAAAGTTATAATGTGATGAAAAAGTAGAAAGAAAATGGGCTTTTAGGCTATAAACAACAAACAAACTAAGTTACCTTACATTCCACGTTTCTCCCTCCCCAAACTCCAGTATTTATGCCCTTCTTTTCCTCTCTTTCTCTTTTCTCATCACAATTCATTCATAACAACCACCACCTTCACTTTCTCATCTCCTTCGAATCCTTCTCTCTTATTCATCATCAGTAATACCTTTTAGTTTGTCTTTGTATTTATTCCTCCATGTTCATCATCACTAAAATCTTTGATTTGAGGTTTTGAACAAGGCTTTGGAGGTTGACCCTTTTGGCTATTTGATCATAGTTCACTTTCAAGATGGAAAACATTTCAGTGTTACCATCTAAGGAAGATGAAAAGATGGATTTGCCTCCTGGATTTCGGTTTCATCCAACTGATGAAGAGCTTATAAGTCATTACCTTTACAAAAAGGTTATTGATTCGAATTTCTCCGCGAAAGCTATCGGAGATGTAGACCTCAACAAGTCTGAACCTTGGGATTTACCATGTAAGTGATACTGTGGTACCATCAAATTCACAGACCCAGTTTTTGTTTTTTGTTTTATCTTTCTTCCATCTTTGAATTTTATGTGAATTATTGTTGATTGATTGAAAATTTTGGGTGTTAGGGAAAGCTAAAATGGGAGAAAAAGAATGGTACTTTTTCTGTGTGAGAGACAGAAAATACCCAACTGGTTTGAGGACAAACAGAGCAACAGAAGCAGGCTATTGGAAAGCAACTGGGAAAGATAAAGAGATTTTCAAAGGGAAATCGTTGGTTGGAATGAAGAAAACTCTTGTTTTCTACAAAGGAAGAGCACCAAAAGGCGAAAAAAGTAATTGGGTCATGCATGAATATCGTCTCGAGGGTAAATTCTCTGTTCACAATCTTCCTAAAGCTGCAAAGGTAATAATCAATCAATTTTGATTCTTCTATTCTAAGTTTATTTGAATTTGAATTTGAATTTGAATTTGAATTTTGATCTTGTGTTGCAGAATGAATGGGTTATTTGCAGGGTGTTTCAGAAGAGTTCAGCTGGTAAAAAAACACATATTTCTGGGATAATGAGGTTGGATACACTTGGTAATGAATTTGGTTCAGTTTTACCACCACTTACCGATTCGATTGGGAAAATCAAACAATTGAATGATTCGGCTTACGTGCCCTGCTTCTCCAATTCAATTGATGTTCAAAGAAACCAAGGAGGGATCTTTGATTCATTCACAAACTCGATTTACGGCGTTTCTTCAAATAATCCACACGATGTTTTTCAAAGAGGTTCATTATACTCTTCTTCTAATCAATCTAATTTTCAATTTCCTAGTTCTGTTTGCGGTATTCAAGATCATTCACTTTTAAGAGCTCTATACGAAAACAACAGTTTCAAAACCGAGCGACAACAACAACAACAACAAATTGTGAGTGTTTCACAGGAAACAGATCTAACTACTGATATCAACGCTGAAACGTGTTCTGTTGTGTCAAATTTTGGTATCGGTAGAAGGGCTTTGGAGAATAATAATCATCAACATCGTCCACCACCTGTTGATTTTGATGGTGCTTTATGGAATTACTAAATTCAAATAGAGCAACTTTTCAGAATAAGACCAAAATCAAAGAGTTATTGAAGAAAGAAGCATATTGTGTAAGAAATGTTGTGAAATTAAGCTACTAGTATTGGCTTGTGCATAGCATGAGCATGGTTATTATTATTTTTGTGAGCTTGGATTAATGTATTATGGTTTGTTCATGTTATTTTCTGGAATTGTAATGTAATGTAATGTATTGTATATAAAGTATATAGTATATAGCTCAGCTAATAGAATGCTGAGAGTGTGACTGTGACATTGATTTCTGGTAATGTTTGAATTGCATATTATAATTTGCATCTCTATCTCAGAAAGTACACACGTGCACGCGCGTACTTTATCATAGATGCATATTGACAAACAGGTTATCTGCAATTACCTACTACAAAGTCCCATGTACAAATCATGAATAATAAATTCTTAGTTTTTTCTTTCTTTCTGTTTCATGTGCATGTATATTGACAAGACACTTTGATTCATTGTCAAAATATATGTATAAGAAATTCAAACATTTACACCTAAAACATTACTATGACAATATGTCACACCATTCATTAATATATTTGCATTTTTCAAAATGTTTTGTGTTATTAAAAAAATCATATATTCTAACTAACATTCAGAAGTAGATATTATTAGATTTAATATTAATTTCAGAGTTTATATTTTGATATTTATAATTAGATTAGTAAATTTTTAGTGATTATTATCATTTTATCTACTGACAAAATAAACAATTTATAATATTCATCTGTATTAACTAATTGTTTCATGAAGTTTCTCAATTTAGTTTTTTTTTTTTGTTTAAGAAAGAAAGTGTTTTATAATACTAGTAAATGGTGTTAAGTTTGTAGTCAAAATTCAAGTCAAATGAGAACATAGAATTTATGACATGCGAGTGCAACTCCAACATACGTTATTACTATTTGAATATTTGAATATTTGAATATGACATATTACATATATTAATAATATAGAAAATATTCTTCAAGTCAGAGAATTTAGTTATTTATTCAAGTTTAATTAATTTATTTAAAAGTCATATTCAATAATGATATTTTGAAGGAATATTTATTAGATTTATATGAGGAGTAAATGACAAAAATATCCACTATTTTGTCGTATATGTCATACATTATTCATTGATTTGAATTTGTCAAATCATCCATTTCTCATTTATGATATGCATGCATTCCGTTTTGAAGGTGTAATGGCATGACATGAGAGCATTGATCTTCTTTTTCTTATTTTGTCCAAAAATACAATGTACGTATCTCTTCTTTTCCATGTGGTGTTTATATTTATGGCACATGATAAAAACCCTAACAAAAGTCCACTAATTTGAGTCCTACACGTTTTCATCCTTAACTATATCATCATCAATTCATCATCAAAACATTAGCATTTTTGTCTTTTTACGTTTATTAATTATTCATTCAACTCACTCTTGAAATTAATTAACCTATAGCTGGCTATTGTTGTTTATATTTCATTTTCTTAATCATGTATAATGACTCCAACCAAACCCCATTATCTTTTCTTTAAATTTTTAGGTTCTTTTTTAATTGAGTTTAGGGTTGTTTAATTTAATTTAGGGTAGTTTTACTGTTGGAATGAGATTGAAATGAAAAATTAGCTTTTATAGATGTGTTATAATTTAATGAGGCTATCCTTTGATTGTTACAATAATGGTAAAAGTTTAGAAGCGCCAACCACCTTATCATCATGATCAGATAGATTAGTGAGTGACCTAGGTAAATTTTGAGTTGTAAAATTGGTGTATATTAAAATATTTCTATTGATTATTGTTTAAGGTAAAACATTACTTAGCTTTCAACAAGAGTGATTAGTTTGAGTAACATGAAAATTCAACATAAGAGAAGAAAGTCGTCGAATCCATAGGTAGGCCGTAGCACTTTTGCGCTGCACATACGAGGCTCTTTGAAAGCGACCCAATCACCTAAAATCAAATATTATGAAAGTATTAAATTCATGATTTCACACTATTTTGTTTACTTTGGGTATTATTTTTACACTGAGGTTTCTATAAAATTTGTTGTTTTTATTTTTGATTTCTGGAAGAAAAATTTGTTATAGAATTATTTTCAAAGATTTGTTGTCAGTATTTTTAGTTTGTACCATTAGATGTGAGTAACGGAAGTTGATCCGTGAACATTTTTATATAATTTTTTTAATAAATAACGTTGCCACATGGTATTATTGTTTATTTTTAATATTTTTAAATAATTTATAAGTTACGTCTAAACATGAGAAGTCCTAATTCATTCGTTCTTTCAAGTTATTTCTTCTTTTCTTTCCCTTCATTGAGAAAGTCGTCGTCGGCTTCAAGAAGAAATCTGAAACAGAAAGTGGTAACAATGTTATCTTTAAAGACAAACTCAACAAACGTACCACCTATGTCATCGTCATCTGTGAAAAGTCGTGGTGGACATTTGTGTGATTGTCAAGGGCGATTGATTTCGTATCAGTGGAAGAAAGGACCAAACAAATGTAAGAATTTTTGGAAATGTCCATATTGAATAAGTGATGAAACTTGCAATTTGTTCACATGGGATGAAGATGTGGAAGCTAAAACTAGAAACGGATATGAGAGTAACAAGAATGAAGCAATGGGTTTGTTGAAGGAACTGTATGTATTATATAAAAAGGCTGAAATGTTAGGTTAATGCTTAGGCATTATGCATGTTTACACTGATTCACAAAAGATGTATATATGAAACAATAATTATATATTAATTTGATACATCATATTAAAGTAATAAAACATTCTTAATGTAACAAAACAATACAATATTGATACAACCATTAAAGTAACACAATATTGGCTTAATTTGTTTACACTACTAATACAACCATTAAAGTACCAAGTCAGATACAACCGACATGACAAATACAAAGGAGTTTTATAAAATGGAAAAGTTCACAAACGGCCACTTATACACAAAACACATACATAGAATTGATACACAAAAACATATACACAAAATAGATAATTAAGGGTATTCAATTTCTGCATCATTGAGTAAGACCCTTCTGAATGTCCTTCCAAGGTTCCATTCTCTTAGTAGTGACATGAAATGGTGGTTCTGCATCTTTGTCAAGTATCACAAATGGATATCCATGATTATTTCTAGGACCCACAATGTTTCTTGTCTTTAGTGTCATAAGTCTATCACTCTTTATTTTCACACTTGGAGCTTGGTTGACCATTTTTCTCTTTAGATATCATGATTTTCACCTATAATGATAGCATAATTTTGACAAAATTTTTAGCACGATTTGGTGGTAGTTTCCTTACAGGATCATCGTGACTTAGATTGTTGGTAGTTTCCTTAGCACGAATTGGTTGTCTAGCTGGAGACTTAGTAGACTTAGATAGTTTGGCTAGAGACTTACCAATGAAATTCTTGACACCACTTGATGTTGGCTTGGAAGTAGTTAATTGTTTTATTGGACTTGTGTCAATTCTCAATGGTTGGATATCTAGTGTAATATTATCTCCAAAAAGGCATCCATCTAAATCTATAAAGGGTATATAACATTTTGTCAATGCTTTTTTTTTTCCATCAAAGCATGTGTAATATCTTTCAAACTTGGTTCCAAGCCTGGTCCAAGTCTATGAATGTTCAACTTAAATATGTTTCCTCTTGAAGTCATCCTCAATTCAGCTCCATATGACCATAATAGATTATATTGCTTACTTGAATCACCTTCTACAATTTGTATAGAAATCTTCCTAGCTTTGAAAGCCTTACAACATGTTATCTTAGTTGCAAACCTCAACCTTACATCAGACACTACTTCATTTAACTTCATTTTATTATTGTTCTTCAAATTGTCCATGGTCATTTTAGCAACCTATTTAGCCTTAGCACTCTTGTTGTAGAACTGTCTGGCACACTTATATTTGTGAAACAAAGTCTTAATCTTGAACGTTGTGCTCCTTGGAACCCTGTTGCACAAAACAGTGTAGTTACAAAGCTTCTTATGCTTGCATACACAACCATGCACCTCGAGGCATCATTTTTGGCAAATATCACCTCCCAACCATTCAAAACATTGTACTCTAATATATCTTTCTTGAATTTCTTCAGAGAGAAAAACTACATACCAGCCTTGAATTGAATTCCTTTATCATTGGTTCTTCCTCATTAAACCTAATCAATATAGGCTTGTCATCACAATTATCTTCATCAGCTCCATTGTCAAGTTCATTTATCATGTAGTTTTCTTCTATGACATGCTCCTTTTCCATTCCTGATGTTGCAAAACTACTGAAGGTTTGCTGTCTGTGTGTAGCACCATCAACATCATCCCTCCCATTATCACCTTCATCTAACCCTTCATCAACTTCTTCACCAAAGTCTTCATCAAAATCATGCATTCTCTCTTCTTCATTGTCTTCAAATTGTATGTCATTGATAGTTTCATCACTTGATTCACTACACTGACCATCATTCTCATCATCCTCAAGACTTTTTTGCCCCTTGTTTTTCTCTCTTAACCTATCCATATATGTTAAGTCACCAGTAGATGGTTTGGCTTCAATATAGATTTCAACTTCCCACTCATTCTTCTCAGTAAACAAAGACAACATTGATGCATCCTCATCATTTCTAAATGGTTTCAGATCTTTCTCAAAACTACCATCTTCTTGTTTCCACCATATTTTCATACCATCAATTATAAACTCTGAATCCATACATTTAATTAGATCACGAGCTTCAAAGAATGGCCATTAATCAATGTCTTGTCCAACAAAAGCATAAGTATCACCACCTTTATATCTTAAGTTGGGGTCTTTTATAAAGGTCCCCTTAGTGAAAAAATGACCTTAAACAAGCCCATCTCCTATAAACTACACATATCTTAGGGTTAATTTCATAAACATTTTATATAACTATAACTATTATGTCAATAAAATAATAACTGGGTATTAAAAACATATTTAACCCTACACATAATATAACCATAAATGAATAGTGAAATGTCAAATTTAAATATGTTCAAAATCGATCTTAGTCATATGATTTTATTATCAGAGAGCTTTCACAATTTTACCAAACAAACATCCTATTTATGGATTTCTTAAACAATAAATTTTAAAATATTTGTGAAAATATGTGTTAAAATAGAAATATGAATAGTAAATTAAAAAAAAAAACTCATTAGTTCTCGTGTTGGTACAACTTTTACATATATTTCAAGTATTTATATCGTAGAAATAATCAAATTCAAAATTGACACATAATTTCGAACAATCACTTTTAATTTGAGATTTGACCGAACCTTCACTTTTCAAATTATTTCTCATATTTTTCTTTAACTAAGTCTTCACTTTCTGAATTCTCTCTCACGCTTTTTACTTGACCGTCAATTTCCATAAGAGTCGAATTATATGACTCATCCTTTCATATGTTGGAGTTACTATAAATAGAGACCTCAATTCTCTTCTCAAATTACACTAAAACTTCATAGTTTTATTCTTCATCTACTCCTTGAGTTTTTGAAATCTCTTATTTCCTTTCTACTCATTCAAATTTTTGTGTATTTGTTTCTTGCTTTCGGAAAAATATCTATGGAGATTAGTTGATTTTCAAAGAAAATCTCTTCGTCAGAGAAATTATTGTAAGTGGTGTTATGATCATATATGGTGTCACAAAACGCGAGGGTAACCTAGAACAAAAATCAGTCAGAAGTCTCTTTGACAATGTTGGAATAACTTAAGACACAAGAAAATAAGCATAACTAGGAATATATGAATTTATATTGATTTATAATGAAATTAGGGTAAAGAGTATGTTTATTGGAAATTTATTTTAATGTGTTACAAAGGATAGAGAGTATATATATCCAAAGAACTAATTGATTTTCAAACTATTAAGTTGTGACAGTTTCTTCGTGTTGCAAGTCTTTTACTTGTAATATAATCAAACAACCACTATAGATTAATTACATTTCTAATACTCCTCATAATTTATATCACCTCATCTTCTAATTTCCAATAATCCTTCAAGACCTCAAAGCTTTTCTTTCTTCAATGACTTGGTATATCTAGAAGTTATAGCTCGATCATGCAATATTCAATCTTAAACTTTTCTTTGTCAACTCGATCTCTTAGAAAATGATATGTTATATCTATATACTTGATCCTACCATGGATCATTGAATTATTTTTTATCAATAATTGACTTATTGTCAACTTAGAGGTTGATCTTCATAAATTCATAAACATTTAACTCTTCGAATATCATTTCAATCCATAATGCTTAGCAAACTGCATAGGAAGTTGTAACATATCTTGTTTCACATGATGACATGGACAATATTCCTTGTTTATTTGAACTTAATGAAATTAGAGATTTTATAATCATGAATAAGTAACCAGATGTACTCTTCCTGTCTTTTTGATGTCCTCCCCAATCTGGATCAGAATAACCATATGTTTTTGCCTCCCTTCTTGAATTCTTTTGATCTGGCATGAGTATTACATGGTATAAAGTGAATTTAATGTATATAAGGATTATTTTTATTTTATCTGAACTTGCATCAAACATCTCTGAAGCCAAATTTGGTTCCCATTTGTGGTAGATGCAAGAAATGTTTGGTTAAGCGTGTTGATAATGATTTTTAATGTTCTAATGTTTGATAGAGGTTCCTTCAAGGTTAGTTTGGGACTTGCATCTAACTCCTTCAAATCTTTATATTTTAACCTTATGGTATAGTGAAATTCTGGTATACACATTACAAATGTCCTAACACATATTGATACATTGATCACTGCAAAATAACACATGGACAAAGTACAACTGACTGATACAAAACTTATTAGTCCAGAGTCATAACAAATGTTCCAATATCTTATACAACATGTTAATCAATCACGAACAAAACTGGACAATGCAGAATGATAAAAATACAAAGATATGATGACCCATTTTGGTGTACAATAACACCTACTCTGGGGGCTATCAAGCCAAGAAGAAAGTCTACTATCAGCAGTATTAGTTCAAAGCTAAACTCCCATGTTTACAACTTCTCGCATAATACCTACCCAATGACACTTTTACTTAGGTCCTCCCTAAATATGAGAAATCGTCATCTCACTTCCTAAATCACCTCAGTGATATCTAACAACCATAAAGTTCAACCAAGACTCTTGATTAACTAACACACTTGGATTTTCTTCAAAGCTTCATCCAAGAAAAATAAACATTATATGCTTAAAAGCTTAAGAATGAACGACAGAACCTTACAACTCAAGGAACAATCCTACTCTTCTATCAACATGATATTAGAGAGGCTCACACATACCAACTCTCCTAGAGAACGGCTTACTGACTCAACCCTAATAATCAAAACTTTGCATCTTCGGCTGGTACCTTTTCTAGGTTAATAACCTTTTATTTATAACCCTTTTCCCAACTGGATTTGGGCTTCAAATCACAACATATTAGCTGCTAGAAATCTGCAGAAACTTCTGCATAAAGATAGGTCTTCAATCATGACTTTCCTAATTTATCTCCATAATTAGAAAGTCAATATTCTTCTTAATTTCATCTTGAATCTTCCAGACCTATAAATCAGCGCCACATAGGATAGCATAATATTCCCAGACTATTTTGCATTTGTTAAATTTTAAACTGATCCAACAGCCCAGCGCAAACCATACACGATGTCAAATGATTCTGTATGGAAAATATTTATTCAACATGTTTCTCCTGACGATATATCTTATTAGTTCAAAACTTCTGATTTCTTCATCTTGGAAACTCCATAGAATTACTTAATATTTCCAAAATATTTAGTAATTTAAATCACATGTATCCAACCTGTAACAGACGAGATGTTCTTCTCTTCTAGTTAGGACATCACATACGACATGTTGAAACTGCTAGTTAAAACATCTTGTTTAACATCTTTCTGCTAAGATGGAACATCCTATGTTCTGCCTATATTGTTTTACTAAAATTACTGCCAATCATAAAATATAGAATTAACAATCTCCCCCTTTGGAAAATTTTGGCTAAAACAAATTAACAATTACAACTCAGATTACAACAGTGAAAAAAATACAACCATAAGCTCTAGTCCTCAGTCTTAAGAAGCTACTGAATACAACAACATGTCTTCAGTCTGATTGATGTCACAAAATCACATTCAAAATCTTGTTCAACACAATTTGAATGAGCTTCATTGCATTAGAAAACCTCAATGCCAAAGAACAACACCCTTCAGAGAAATGAGTAGAAAGTCCTGAAGTCATTTTGTGTACATGAGGAAGAGGGTAACATACACTCCTCCTTAATAGCAGCATCATAAATCCAATAGATCCAACAGGTTCCAACACCATATGGTTTATATGAGGAAGAAGATGACTAATACTCCCCCTTAACCCAGGAACAAATCTTCCTCACAGGAAGCATTAGAGGAAACTTAAGAGGCATAAGAGAAACATTATGAACCAACCAAATACCAAGCTCAACAATTCAAATGATGACTCAGAGGTGTGGGTTTTGACCTCAGGTGACTCAAAGGTGTGGGTTTTGACCTCAGGTAACTCAAAACAAAAGAAACAATTGTATTCATAACTCATATCACAAGACACAAAAGAAACATCAACTGAAGCAAGACTCAAAAGAAATATCAACTGAAGCAAGACTGAGGCAATACTCATACATGATGTTCATATATATTTTTAGACATCCTTGCAAAACAACTGCAAGAACATACACAACACCGAATTGGTCACCAGTACCTTTCTCCCCCTTTTTAGCCAAAAATTGACAGGGATATCCCTCATAAAACCATACCCAAACTCTACTCACCCAAACCCAGATAAATGCCATAAGAGTTTTGAGAAGAAATTATCACAAGATGATAGAAGAAATGAAATAATCTCTTCAAATAACAGCACATTTCTTTAAGAATTAACGATCTTCAACTGTAACGATGGTCTTGGTCAAAAAGAACGTTAGTGGAGGAAACTAAATGTACCAAAAGTAAATTTATACCGTCCATGTCAGTTTTGAATTCCTTTATTGACTTTGAACAAATTCTTCTGAACCTGATAGTCCCAATAAATACACATGCAAAAACAAAGAAAAGCACGTGTCATATGTAACACCCCTTCTAAAATACCCCGAATAATATTAATTATATCAATGATTAAAGACATATTCCATCAGAGTTAACACGGAACAAGGGATGTCACAATTATCAAATAAATAAAACTTCCAATAAAACAGTAGTCATGCTACACTGAGGGTCATTATTCAAATAATTCAATCAAATTAAGACCATGTCTTACACAGCGGAAAAATACCATAACCAAAACAGAATAAACCAAAACATAATTATTCCCAATGAAATTCAAAGAAACAATTGAATAATAACTAATTCCTCAACTAAACGTTCCCCAGTGTTACAACCTATCAGAGCACGACACTGACACGCGGACTTAAAGTAACATAGCTCTAGAGCCATCCTCACCAACTCCTGAGCTGCTAACTTTAATCTGAAATTGTTAAAGTAAGGGTGAGATTTCTCATAATTAACATGAATTATAAGCTTCTCAATCAACATTATATCACAAGCATATTATTTCACCCATTTTAGCATAAATTCAGATTCAACACGCAGTTCCAATCATACAAGTCATTATGCACAAATCAA